GGGGGGGAATGTGCAGATCTGTCCTCACAGAGGAGGGAGAGCTCATTCCTGAATAAAACTTGGTCTTAAAGGTGCCACTGGACTGTTTTGGACTGGGGGGCTGGGGGGGAGCTCTGCAACTTACCTGGCTGCTTCTTACTCTGACTGAGGGCTGCTGGGAGCAGGGGGTGGGGCTTGTTGCATGTGCCCGCCCCCTGGGCTCTTTACTGCCGGAGCTCCGCTCCTGGGCGCTCCTGCAGGAAATAACCCCTGTCCGGGATAAGTGTTGAAAGAGAGATTGAATTTGGAGCAGACTGCTTTTGTGAACACAAGACTGTTAGAAGGATATTGATCGAAAGAGTTTGGAGCAGACTGCTATGTGTAATTTTATTAATTTTATTGTCCTTTGTATTTTCTCTGTGAAGGAATAAGTGGCTGTTTTTCATTACCAGACACTAAACGATGTTATGGCTTTAATCTAGTCTCTTTTGTCATTGCATCAATCTGTGGGCATCTAGCACACATCTCCCTTATAAATAAAAGCCGAATGGTGGTGGCACTTCTCTAGAACATTCCACATGCTCCAAAATCAGTTTGCTCTCTGATCTGTCATTCAGAGGGTCTCCCTATCCACTGGCTGCTTTGCCTGAGTCCTGCCTCCAACATTCCTCCCCCCCCCCACAGCCAGTCAGAACACAGAGGTTATTTGCATATGCAGCCTCATTGGCCTCTGCCTCAGAACACAGAGGTCGTTTGCATATGCGACTTGATTGGCTTTTGCCTCTAACATTCTAAACAGTTTTGCTGTTCTGAGGTAAAATGTGTCCAATCTCCAGGTGAGGGCTGGAGATCACTCAGAATTACAACAGCTTTCCAGAAGGCAGAGATCAGTTCCCCTGGAGAAAATGGTGGGCTCTGTATCCTTATATGCTGCTGAGGTGGCCCCCGTATGACAGCCAATGTGACGTAGCAGTCAGGGCTTCAGAGCACGGGAGAGGCTGCAGGTGTGTGTGTGGGGGGTGGAAAGCTGAAGAGTGAGGGGGAAATAAAGGTAGGTTAATGATTGGCTGGGAAGGAGATAGGGTTGCCAACTCCAGGTGGGAAATTCATGGAGATGTGAGTGATGGAGCCTGGAGAGGGTGAGGTTTCAGGAGGCGTGGGACCTCAGACAGGTACAAAGCCATAGACTCCACCCTCCAAACCAACCATTCCCTTCTGGGAAAGCATTGTTGCCAATCTCCAGGTGAGGGCTGGAGATCACTCAAAATTACAATTGTTCTTTAGGTAGCAGAGATCAGTTCCTCTGGAGAAAATGGTGGACTCAGTGTCATTATACCCTGCTGAGGTCGCCACAGCAAATTGACACTGAGTGTCCAAGGCCGGGGCACTCGCCCAGAGCCTCTTTCTAGAGGCCGTTGCATTTATTTCCACAACGGGCCTTTTCCCTATATATTTTTCATACTAGTCTCATCTAATAAGATCCAGCCATCCAGGTCAACGGAGCCAGTGATGCTGCTCACGTGCACTTCAAGTCACCCAAGCCCTTCCCAAATTTCTCCAACGCCGTGATCGTTCCAGCTGTTTGGCCATTTTAACTTTCTTCTAAAGGTCTATGAGCATCATAGATAATAAAAACTGGCCAGAACCAAAAACCCTCTTTAATCACAAGCAAGGAGGCTGAACAGCACCCACTGGCTTGAGACTGGACGCGGCACAATGCCAAGGAGAAATCCGGCGCAGCTTTTGTTGAGCGGGAGGGAGGACGTTCGGCGGCTGTGGCGGTCTGCCCAGACAGACAGGAAGCGAAGGGGCTTCTCCTCCGTGACTCAGCAACGCACCAACCAAGACGAGAGACCCACAAAGGGATCTTTTGATCGCACGCATCTCCCTCCCACCTCCCGACTCCCGAGGCCCTGAGCTGGCTAGCGACAATATAAATGGCAGAGGAAAATCACATTTTCAAATGTTTTAAGATCACTTTGACAACTATCTGCAAATAGCACATAAGACAGAGGCTAAAAATACTTCATT